TAACTTAATGTGTGTTAACTAACTCGTCCTAGATATTTATATGTTTTCTGTGTTACAAAGACTTATCCTTTTACTCGGCGTGGACCCCTCGCTGCAGAGTGTTAATATGTAATTGTAAGCACACTTTCCGCTGTTATCTCTGCTCATTTCTAACAGCATATTTAACATTATTTTTCAGATAACATCTCACAATGGGAATTCACGGACTGGCCAAGCTAATAGCTGATCATGCCCCCGGTGCCATCAAAGAACAGGACATCAAAAACTACTTCGGTAATTCTGACATATTACTTTTTCTACATGTAAAATAGTAAGGTCACAAGAAACACAAATACATGTTTAGTCATTGTTGGAATGAAATTTAAGTCAGTTGTGTTATTAAGCGTTTTTTTTGGGGGGGGGGGGGTTTAACCATACAGTGAGATTAAACATAAAATCTTAATGTTTTAACTGCTTTTTGTAGGCAGGAAAATTGCTATCGATGCCTCCATGTGCATCTACCAGTTCCTGATTGCTGTCCGACAGGATGGGAACGTTCTGCAGAGTGAAGACGGAGAGACTACAAGGTGCAGCATAAATGATTTGATTTCTGACCATATTTGCAGTATGCATTGGATACACTAGTTTTTTCCAGAGCAGTAGCCTACCCCCACTTCATGAAGTAAAGAGGTTTGTGACTTTCCCTTTTCCTAGCCACTTGATGGGAATGTTCTACCGCACAATCCGCATGTTGGAGAACGGGATCAAGCCAGTGTATGTGTTTGATGGGAAACCTCCACAGCTCAAGTCAGCTGAGGTTTGTATGGACTCTGTCGGGCATGGGCTGAGGGCACAGAGTATATAAGCTGAGTTTAAACCATGAATCTTTAAAACCGTGGTATAACTTTGTGCAAATGACAGTCCAATGTTTCCACCAATGTTTTCTTTGTTTAGCTGGAGAAGAGAGGGGAGAGGAGAGCAGAAGCTGAGAAAATGCTTGCCAAAGCTCAGGAATTGGGTAAAAAAAATTTTAAATTGTTCTTTTATTAACAAAACTTTGCATCCTTTCTTTTCCCCCTCACTGATGTGAAAATTAAAAGAATAAGGAATATGAGTCCTGTTTTTATTTTCTTCCTTGCTGATTTTTTTTTTTTTTTTTACTTCCTCAAACCAGGTGAACAAGAGAATATCGACAAGTTCTCCAAGCGACTCGTGAAAGTCACCAAGCAGCATAACGACGATTGCAAGAAGCTACTGACCTTGATGGGAGTGCCTTATATCGAGGTACCATTAAAAGCTGCTTTACTTCTCTTAAAAATTGAAAAGAATTTTCTGTGTGTCTTGGCTCTATGGTGAATTTGCAGAGTTACAGTACTTGAAAATATTATTTAAAAATAAGTTGCTACTGAAGAAATGTGCGTAAATAAATGTGCTATGTGATTTTTTTTTTGTGTGTGTGTTTTTTAGGCTCCGTGTGAGGCTGAAGCCAGCTGTGCTGCTCTGGTTAAAGAAGGGAAGGTCTTTGCTACAGCAACGGAGGATATGGACGGACTGACCTTTGGGACAAATGTCCTGCTAAGACACCTCACCGCCAGTGAAGCAAAGTACACACTTTTATTTATTTCTATTTTTTTTAAATCATTTTATGCAGACAAAAATGAGCCTTCTGTTTATGTCGAGTGGTTATATATTTAATTTTTAAATGCCTTTTTTTTTTTTGCTGCAGGAAACTTCCTGTTCAGGAATTTCACTTTAATCGCATCCTGCAGGACATCGGTCTGACCAGTGAGCAGGTGGGTTGTTACTGTTAAAGTAAGTATTTACTGCAAAACAGTAAATGCGTATTGTCTGTGCAGTGCAGGACTCAACTATCAGTCTTTGCTTCTTGCAGTTCATAGACCTTTGTATTCTGCTGGGTTGTGACTACTGCGGCACTATCAAGGGAATCGGTCCCAAGCGAGCCATCGACCTGATCCGGCAGCACGGCTCCATCGAGGAAATCCTGGAGAACATTGATACAAATGTGAGTTAAATCATTTTTTTTCTCTTACTGAGATTCTTTCTGTGTTTTGTGTGGAACAAGCTGAAGCAGGCAATAATTTACGACCAGAAAGTGTGAGATACACCTGAACATTTTCACAAGCGATGCATGTTAAGTTGCATGCTAAAATTATTTTTATTTTTTAAAACACCAACAAGGATGCATAAAGATTACAAAAAATTGAGACAAAATGTGTCTCATTTTGCAGATGATAAAAGTCACACCTTATGCTTACTTTAGTTTTTTATACATTTTATTTGAATGCATGAATGCATTTTGAATGAAAAATACATTTTCTGAACTCTTGTAAAACTCAGAATGGAGCTTAGTCTGCAAGTACTGAACAGATGTTTTCCACAATTTCTCCATGTTTCATTTTACTATTAAAAATAGCTGTTTGAATTAACTTTATAGAAATATGTTTACTTGACTTCCAATTATACATTTATCTAACCATTGACAATGTCTGTTGAGTCAGTGGAAACATGTATGTAGTCAAATATAAAAAAAAATATATGTATTTTGAATAATGTCTGCATTTTTAGCTCCCTCATCTTTCAGCTTCATGATATGCTTTGGGTCACTGCTGTTCATCTTTTTACGAGACGATAATAATTGCGGTCAACCCAGGCAGCAGATGTTATTTATTTTTATTTTTTTTGTTTTCGTGTGCGTTTTGTTCACCTTCTTGCAGAAGCATCCGGCCCCAGAGGACTGGCTGTACAAAGAAGCGAGGAATTTGTTTTTGAAGCCAGAGGTGGTGGATTCCTCCACAGTGGACCTGAAGTGGAGGGAGCCTGATGAAGAGGCTCTGATCCAATTCATGTGCAGTGAGAAACAGTTCAGGTGAGCTGAATGGAGGCTCATTCTGGATTTTAAACCTTTTTTTTTTTTTGCATATGATGCTAGAACTATTGACTATTGTGATGTTTGCTAGATGAACTGTTTTTACATCGTTAATCCACTAGTCTCCGCTGTTGGCCGTTTCTAAATGCAGTAGCTTTACATTCATTCCTTTTAGCCATTTTTGAAGGATATTGTCCACTTGTCACTTAAGCCAGTTAAAATGGTCTTATTCCTCCCTGATTACCTGCATACGGCAGTATTAATTTTAAGTTCTGAGTCATTTTTGTGTGTTTTCAGTGAGGACAGGATCCGTAACGGCTGTAAAAAGATAATGAAGAGCAGACAAGGAAGCACACAGGGAAGGCTGGACTCTTTCTTTTCCGTCACTGGTTCACTCTCCTCAAAAAGGAAGGTATGCACAGCAGACCACTAACCCAATGGTTATTTCAAATGTTATTTTTAAATGGACGTTATTTGTGGTTCCTCATGTTTTTGAGACTCAGTTACATATTGATCAACTAGAAAAATATTAAGTATTTCCTGTTTTATTTCTGTATTCTTAGGAACCGGAGACCAAAGGATCTGCAAAGAAAAAACAGAAAACTGGAGCAACTCCAGGCAAATTTAAGAAGGGCAAATAGACTGAACTCTGATCACTGTTGATGTTACTGCTATGTATACAACGTATTAAATAAGAACTATAACTTCAAAATGCTGCACAGAAGGAGCTATAGTTAAATCATTATTCCATTTCAATATTTTTTGTTTGTGACCAACCACAATTCAAGCTGGCTGTATTTTAAGGTGCTGAATGCTTGAAATAAAAAATCTTATTTTGTAGTGAAAGCTGTCGCCTGACTTTTGATTCATTTTTATCAACACTTGAAATCTCGGCTGATGGATTGGAAGCTCGCCATGGACTGATTACTTAAAAATAAGTGGAAGTAAAAACAGCTGACTCATCTTCAAATATTTTCTGCGTCATTTACAGAAATAGTCGCGGGAAATGACTGGACAGGGAGTATTAGCATCACATGTACTCAGAAATATTTGTTTGAACTGAAAAATGTTTCTTCCTCTTATATTTTTATTGGTTATATTTGGATTGAGTACAAAAAAGGACAAAAAGGAGAATAAAATTCCATAGATCAGAAAATCTGAGAATGCAACAAGATGAGTAGAAGTGTATTTTAGACGAAACAAACGCTTTCAGATAAACGCTTTCAAAATATGACCAGCTTTGAGTACCATGATGCAACTTGTTGCCTTCAGAAGTCAATCACTTTGTACATTGTGTCTGCAATTTAATTGTCCTAGAGAAATCCTACTGTTCTGTGAAGGCCTGAGGTAACTGCTGAGCTCCTCAGCAGTTACCTCAGCATGGTAATTGCTGAGGAGCTGCAGAGATACAGAGCTCGGATGTAACAATTTGCTCAAACGACCACTATTGGTACATCAACAGAAGTGTGGCGAGCATCGCCAGAAGAAAAGTGTGTAGTGATGCGTGTGGAAGAAGATGCTCTGCTGAGACGAAACCAGATTTGGTATATAACGAATTCCTGTGTCATGTTTCCATCCTGCTGTGGAGATTTCCTTCAGCAGTGACACAGACGCTGATGGGAAGCCAAATGAGCCCAAAAATCTGCTAAAGAATGGCCCAGTCAAAGTCCAATTCTAAATCCAGAGAATCTGTGGTGAGACTTGAAAATTAAAGTATCCCATCGACAGTCACGCTTTCTAAAGACGTACCTCAAAATACAGTAAAATGTAGTTTTGTCTGCAAAGCATTGAGTCGGAAAGTATTGGCTCCACAACATTTTTGAAAATTATAATTTCTCATCTTCATGTAAAATCCTTGTTAAAAAAAATGAAGGTTTGCATTTGTGACATGATCTAATGTGAAAAAGCAAACTTGAGGGTTTTGCTTTAATGAGTCGGATGCTGAATGAAGCCGGATGGGCGGGTTGGGTCAGTGCCCTGATATGAATGATTAACGCTGGACTTTCTTTCTGGCAGGATATTGAGCAAAATAACATTTTACCAAGAGGCGTCATGTGATAGTTTGCAACTGTTAACCATTTGAATTCGTCTTTCTCTGAAGGAGCTTCCTCTTTCTTCTCCACTCTTTCTGTTCAGCAACAAAAACATGAAGTCCTTTAAAATACAGCTAGTATTAAAATCAAGCCACTGCATAAAGAAAGGATGTCTTGTGTGCTGGTTAGGTAAGAAAAACATTTCTATTAAACATTCATTTTTTACATTTTTTCATTGTGGTTACTGTATCTGCTGATGTCTTAGTTTTACGTCAGCTTCCATAAAAAAAAAAAAAAAAAAAGCTCCCACTCTGATTTCACAGATATACAGAAATGATTGTCCTAAAAGACCCAAATAAATTTGCCAAAACTGAATTATTGTGGGTATAAAGAATGAAAACTATTTAGAGTGAAATCAAATCAATTCTCTAATTGTTTCTGTTTGTTTGCAAATCAGCAGCTTCCCAGACGTGTTTCAGTTTGGCAATCGTCTGTTCCTTACTAACTTTTCAGTTTGTCTCAGGTAAGCTTTTCAACAATTATTATTGAAAAACACACACACACAAAAAAGCAATGCTCAGTATGTTAGTATGCCTAAAAAGTCATATTTGTGATGAAGCTGAGTGTGTACTTTGCTGACCATGATGATGCATTTTCAGGTGCTGCGGACAATTGTGAGACTAATAAGAAACCAGAGCTGTTCATCACAACGCCAGGAAAACTGGAAGCACTGAGTGGATCGTGTCTGCAAGTCCCTTGCAACTTTTCTGCCAAAACAAGTGCAAGCTTCACGGGAAAAAACTTCGGGGTGTGGATCAAATCAGATTCTCGATTTAAAGACTTCCCAGAAAATGTGATTTTCAACAGCAGTGGGTCGACAAAAACGTATCCGCTGGAAATTACGGGGAACCTGGAGAGACAAAACTGCACAACTGTGTTTCAAAACCTAACTAGCGAACATTCAGACGTATACTTCTTCAGAATTGAACATACGCAGACCAAGGCAACAGCTTCCTGCAGTGGATTTCACTTAACAGTCACAAGTGAGAAATTTTGAACTATTAAACAAAATGTGAACTTCATGCCAATTGTGATTTTATTTTAGATATACATCAGTCTAATACATGTTTATTTTAAATTTTGTTTACAGACCGATGACTGTGTCATAGCTTTATAAGATTCTGAGCAATTAGGTTAAAAGTGGTACTTTAAGATTTATTTAGAGTGAGTGACTGAGAAAGAGAGGAAACGCTCAGTGCTCGAAAGTGAAAATCACCAGAAATTGTTTAAATAATGTATACTTTAACATGTTTATTTGATGTGAAACCCCAGATTCTCCTTGGAGTCCCAGCATTAATGTTCCCTCTGACCTGAAGGAGCATCAGTCTGTCACTGTAACCTGCTCAGCTTTCACTCCCTGTCCACACTCACCTCCTCAACTCACCTGGAATCTCCAACAAGACTCTCTCAGACAAACAGAGAAAAACACAGATGGAACCTTTACAACTAAAATCCAGGAGAACATCACTCTGTCAGACACACATGATGGATACAACATCAGATGTTCTGCCAGATATCCTGTGATTGGAGGAAACAAGACAGCAGAGACAGAAGTGACTCTCAGTGTTTCATGTAAGTGATCCTGTCAGCAGGTCATGGTTCAGCTGTTTGTGATCAATAAAGTTCATGTGTCTCATTTTCCTCAGATGCTCCTAGAAACACCTCAGCATCCATCAGTCCATCAGGTTTGGTGTCAGCAGGTAGCTGGGTGGAGCTGAGCTGCTCCAGCAGAGCCAAACCTCCACCCAGATTCACCTGGTTCAGGATCAGCACAGAGGGAACATTTAATGTGTCTGTAGGCCAGGTTTACAGACTCCAGAGGACCAACATGACAGACTTGGGAAGTTATTACTGTGAGGCTGAAAATATTCTGGGGCGTCAGACATCAACATTGAGTCATTTAAAAGACCATGGTAATTTCTTTATGTTAGTTGTGTTGATATATGATGTTAAAGTGCTCCAAAACTAACCCCTTACTTATATTACGTGTGTCCAAATGCCTCCACATATTTTCATAAATAGTAGCGGAAGAAATACTATTTATAAATAAATGATATTTTGGGTTTGTTTTAATAAATAACAAGAACTGGATACAATATTCTGAAGTTTAGTAAAAAAAATTGAACAAACTGCAGTTGAAATGAAAACAAACTTCAAACCAAATTGAAAAGAAGAGAGGAAGAGCAGGGGATTTTTGGAAATGAGATAATAAGTAAGGTATGTTTGAATTTGAAAGGGTTTTTTCATCGTTTATGCAGGTCTTCAGTGTTGAATCCATTCTCTTATTTCTAGAAACATTGATTACGAAATCTCATTTAACTTGTGCTGCTGTTTTTGTTATTTTACGGATAAAAACAGATGCATTGTGGGGAGCTGCTGCTGGGGGATTTATTGCGATCTTCATTGTGATCTGTGTTGCTTACATCCTTTGGTAAGCACGATGTATAATCCATCCGTCTGATTTAGAAAAAGTCACTTATAAGAGATCAGAAATGAGGTCTTTATGGTGGATTTACCAACAATTCTTTTTTTTTTTTTTTCTAGGCGCTTGAAGTTTAAACATTCAGCTTTACATCGGTTTCAGGTGAGAAAATACAAGCATCCTGTCAGAAAACCACGTTTTTATGTATATCTTTCAAGGTATTGGCAAACATCTGTTTTCGGTTTACGTGTCCTAAAATAACAAATTGTTTTGACCGTATCTCTGTTAAACCCTAAAATGAGGGAAAAAAATGGAAAAGCGAATTCAGCTCAATCAACTGCTGCTTTTTGCCCCCCCCTCCCCCCACCCCCAGAAATCGGGTTTACAAGAGCCTACCAGCACCGCAGAAAACCAGGACATCCATTATGGAGACATCGACTTCTCTGTGATGAGACCGTCGCTTAAAACGGCCCGAGACGAGACAGACCAGCAGAATGTTATGTATTCAGAAGTGAATGTGTGCAGAACTGGAAACGGGACTGGATCTGTGGACGGCCTCTACGCTCAGGTGAAGAAGAATCCAGTCAATCCACATTTCACCTCGTGAAACTTTATCTCACAGATACGTTTGACTTTTTCTCTGAACTGTTCAAACACAAACAATTGTTTTAATTTTTTAACTGTGTGACGGTGGGACTGATATTTTGTGTTTCCTTCCACAAACTATTCCCAGTAGTTTGCTGTTTGTGAAAAGAAAACTATTGTGAGAGGATTTAGACGTACGCGTAGGTTTACTGTCCAGTTAGACGACACATTTATTTCCAAGATTTAACTTTCTGGTTGATGTCTTGAGACGTTGGTTCAATATTTCCACATATTGCTCCTTTCTTATGAAGCCATCTTTTTTATCTTTTTTTTTTTTAAGCGCACCAGTCCCTCCTGCAGCAAAGCAACCACGTGCTTCCATCTCCATGCTTTCTTCTTTCCTTTTTCCTCAAAATGAAATGTCATTATGCCCAACCGCTTCAACTATAAATTTATCGGACTTCCGTCTTTTTTGTGCAATTTATGTCAATTTTCCGATCATGTTGTGCAGTTCCACTCCTAACGACGCTCTCTTATCCAGAGCACCTTTCAGAGAAACGCGTGTGAAGAAGGTTAAAGGGAAATACTTGCTCTAGAATGGACAACATTGATTTTGAAGGAAAAAAAGTGAGTCCATGCTTTCAATGATCACATATTCACAGATCATGTACTAATGAATAAACCAGTCACAAATGAGACATAATTGATTTATGCTGTAAATAGATTTTCACTTAAATAAAAACAAAACAAAACAAGAAAAAGTATTGCTTAAGAGATGCAAGTAGTATTTTGGTATGGTACCGAGTGGTTAAGACTGTCATTATTTAATGCCTGAAATATTAGATTTTACATTTATTTGTGTTAAAGAAGGAAGAAATGAAACATCTGGCAGCTATTTGTTGTAATAAAATAACTTCAAAACAAATATCTACTGGAATGAAAGCTTTGTATTGGTGACTGATGCAAAATAACCACCTTTGGATTAAATATATTTAACTTTAACTCAAAGCCTTTAAAATGGACATTGTTTTAGCTGCACATTTCCATATTCATACAGGAAAGAGGAGGCAGGTTTAAAAAGAACAAACTTTATTTTGTCGTTTTGTTTGAGCTGATGATCTTACAGCATTCAAGCAGTTGTCAGAATCCTCTTTGCGTGAAATAAGTTGATTATTTGTCTGATTTGGAGCTGGCAAATAATGGTAGGAATGTTATTAGAAAACTAAAATCTAGTGGCATGAATCTGTACTCTGAATTAGATGTGACGCAAAAACCAAAGCATTTCCAAATAAAGCTGTAAACCAAGCAGAGGAAGTAATGCAACTTTAAGCCAAAAAATTACACACACAATTTTTTTTTTTTAAGAAAAGTACCAAGTTTGTTGTTGTGGGCTTTAAGCCTGGTTTTCAGTATGTTAGGTGATATCTTGCTGTTTTAACTCAAAACACGAACTTGAAACTTGAAACTGAATGCAGTTCGTATCTGCCTCAAACCTATGGGGTGAGTGTGGTTTCAACCCCATAAATTAAAATGAGGAAGTTGGTCACTGGTGTTTCTGTTCTCATTTTAAGTAGGCAAGAATTGGAAATGGGACTAATTATGTCAAGATCTTGTTGGAAATGTTTTCTTCAGTCATCTGTGAGTCACAAATTGCGAAACTTCCCTTTTTCCAGAGAGCTTATTGACAAATACATGTATGCAACAAAGTATTAGGTAACATCCTTGCACTGTAGCAAGGCTACCAATGTCTGTTTCAACTTTACCAGAAGTCTATTATATGTGTGAGAGTGGATGACGTTGAAAGGAGACTTGATCTTTCGAACCACCACAACCTTGCAAGGAAAAATAAATACATCATGTGTTTCTAACTGGGTCCATTTGTAACTTTGAGATTTGCTTTATTTATTTAGTGGTGGAAAATTTAGTGGTGGATTTTAGTAGTCTTTATTTAGTGGTGGAAAATTAAGGCTCACGAAGACAACAGATTTTAAATGGGGATTAAAATGAGGAAACAAAGTTCTAATAATGAACTGTGTTTATGGTGAGTGTGATACAGACCTAGGATTCTATAGTGTTATATTTGTGCCAACATTTTTGAGTGCTAATGTTTACTTTTCCTTAAGTAAAGGAAAAGGAAAAACATGCTAATGTTTCCTTAAGTAAACATTAGCTTGCTATTCATGCTATTGTGAAGATTACAATAAATAAGATGATTTGTCAAAGAGGCTATTTTTATTGTTGGTTTGGTCAAGAAAAAAAATCTTAACAGTACAGTAATTAAAAGTTGGATTCTTTTAAGCCTGTGATTTTCTGCTTTAAAATAAATAAATAATGATAAGAGAGGCTATGGGATATCGCAAAATGTGTTCAGGACAAATAACTCCAGTCTCAAAAAATGTGAAGGCATTTTCACTGAAAGATGCACAACAAATTTTCTCACCGAAGCGAGACAACTTCCTGTTTTAACAGTCAAGAAAGGGTGAGTCTGTCTAAATTTACATAAGGACATCTGAACAGTGGATGCAGTTGGTGGCCATCATTTCTGCTCTTCATTCCTTTATTCAGGTTTATTTCTCCAGTGTGGCAGTGCAGACATTTGGTAAGAGCAATTTCTATGTCCTGCAGAAAATTATACTTTGGTGGTAACTATGGATTTTTGTAAAAAAGATGATTTACTTTAGCAAGTTTTCTCTTGTACTGACAGTCATCCATCATGCCATCATGATGAACAAAATGTTACTGAGTGTCTTCTTTTTTTCAAGTAAGTGTTTTTGTGTGTGTGTGTGTGTGTGTGTGTGTGTGTGTTCATTTCAACCATTTACAGTTTGTGTTATCTACTTCTGTGACACAATTCGGTCAAATAATGTAAATTAATTTATAGCAGAAATATGTTAGATCAGTAAGCTGGCAGTTAATTTAATAGTTACCAAATTGTACGACTAAATTCATGCCAAGAATATGTAAAAAATTGTTGTGGTTTGAAATTGGATCAGTGTGATATCTGTCTTACAATATATGTTTAATTGCATTTGGAGAAACATAACCAAGCAGCAAACTATCTTTGTCATATATTACTATAATATGTTGTGGTGTTGTAATAAAAGCAGCAATAAGAAGTACTTATTACTTTTTAGGCAACTATGGCTGTGACTGCATGGCACAGCGTTCACAGAAAAAACAAATCATTCGTAAATCACTACTTTAGGACACCAGTCGCATAAAATAGTGTGACTTGTATCACTAAGCTGCACACGGTAACTGCATTTAATCACATTTTCAAATGTATTGGTATTTATTGATGCACCTTTATTGAGCAAACAGAGGAGAAAAATAGCAAAACCAACAATCCTGACAACACAGGGAGCTTTGGGGTATCATTAATTAGAATTTATCATCGCAACAATAAATCAAAATCTTATCATGATAAGAAATCTATCATGATAAATGGGACAATAAACGCCCAGTCGTAGTTTGGAAGACACTTGGGCATCTGTTGCTGTTTTTTCTTTGGTTTATAAAATGTTAGAGTTACATAATTTCTTAGCTTTTGTGTGTAAGCTAGGAATGTATTTTTCGGTCCTGTTGTAGTTCCATAACAAAAGATTTTAAGTTAAGAAAAGCAAGCCTCGTGTGGAGATCTTTTCCAAGTTGTTCTCTGGTTGTCCAACGACATACAGTCTCGTGTTGTGAGGACGGCTAAAAGCCATGCCAGATTTGTTTACAATGCAAACATGGTATTTATTGACCAATCTAACAATAAATTGTGGCCCCTCGTTTTGCAGGCTCTGTGATTGCTTGTGGTGATGTGAGCCTGTTCATTACCACACCGCATCCGATGGAGGCTCTGAACGGATCCTGTTTACATATTCCCTGTAGCTTCACAGCTAAATCTGAAGGCAGCTTTTCCAGTGGAAAACTTGTCGGAGTTTGGATGAAAAGTGACCCAAGTTTCTCGACATATCCACAAAATGTGATTTTCAACAGCAGTGAGAAAACGAGCGTCTATCCCATGACTATAACTGGCGATCTGAAGGAGAAAAACTGCACCACTTTGTTTTCAGGCATAAACCAAAGACATGCAGACACATATTACTTTAGAATTGAACACGGCCAATTTAAGGCTTCGGCTATTTGTGATGCTCTTCAAATAAATATAAAAGGTAAGGCAGTTTTCTGTTGTTTAATGAATGGCGTTAAAATGAGGAAGAACGTTGAAATCTATCACTAATTTCATTAAATTAGTCAAATATTTAAAAAGTTCTTTCAGTTGTAACATAATGCTTTATTTTTTGCTTACGCTGTCCACTTTGTGACTTCCAGCACAACGTTATTATTATTACAAAAACAATTTTTTTCTTGCTTGTTTGTTTTCCAAAACACTTAATTCCAAAAAAAGTATCTACAACTCTTCTCCCACATTTTATCCTGTTACAGCCACAAACGTCAATGTTTTCATACCAAGTTTTTATGTTAAAATCTAGACCAAGATACAGCAGTCCCTATTGTTTGAAGGAAAAAAAACACATTTTTTAAAAATATTCTATTAATTAACATCCGAAAAGTGTTGCATGAATTCAGTTCCCCTGAGTCAACAGTTTGTAAAACTGCCACCAGCTGCAATTAGAGCCACAAGTCTTTGTGGCACAACAAGTCTCAAGTGTTTGGCAAGCCTCGAACCGGGTTTTCTACTAGAATTGTCCTGTGTTTAGCTTCAACCATCTTCACTTCAACCCTCTGACCTGCTGAATACAAACTAACCCACTGGACAGTTTTGTTTGTGCCTTATTTTACAACTGATACTTTGACTCACTGCATAAAATCTGTTTTTGTTTCCAGAATATCGTCTTTTCAGTGGCAATGTGACAAAATAGAAGAACTACTTGTTCAAGGCAGTGTACATACGATAATGACAAAACCAGCCTTCAAAAATCTGACAATATATGTTTAATGATTTTAATGCATTTACTATTTATCATTTGAAACCCCAGATTCTCCTTGGAGTCCCAGCATTAATGTTCCCTCTGACCTGAAGGAGCATCAGTCTGTCACTGTAACCTGCTCAGCTTTCACTCCCTGTCCACACTCACCTCCTGAACTCACCTGGAATCTCCAACAAGACTCTCTCAGACAAACAGAGAAAAACACAGATGGAACCTTTACAACTAAAATCCAGGAGACCATCACTCTGTCAGACACACATGATGGATACAACATCAGATGTTCTGCCAGATATCCTGTGATTGGAGGAAACAAGACAGCAGAGACAGAAGTGACTCTCAGTGTTTCATGTAAGTGATCCTGTCAGCAGGTCATGGTTCAGCTGTTTGTGATCAATAAAGTTCATGTGTCTCATTTTCCTCAGATGCTCCTAGAAACACCTCAGCATCCATCAGTCCATCAGGTTTGGTGTCAGCAGGTAGCTGGGTGGAGCTGAGCTGCTCCAGCAGAGCCAAACCTCCACCCAGATTCATCTGGTTCAGGAACAGTGAACATGGAGACATTAATGTATCTGTGGGGCAGGTTTACAGCTTCAACGCCACTGAGCGAGGAAAATATCACTGTTTGGCCACAAATCATCTGGGGAAAGAGATATCATCAGGGATCGTTCTGAGGTTTGAAGGTAAACTGCTAACAACCCTGAAAGATTAAATTTTTCGTCTTTAAAGGAGGGACCTCAAGTTCTACATGTTTGTTTCATGGAAGTTTCGTCACAGCAATCTGAACACTGGGTGGGAATTTGCAGTGGAATCATTATTACGATCATCGTTCTTGTTGTCTGTATTCGGTGAGTGTGTGTTCAGTAATTCTGCTAACAGTGTTTATATATGTCTCCACCAGCTCTGAAAGGAGACATTCTTGTGCTTCATACGGTTTTACATCTGATTTATTCTCCATAATTTGTTTAGCAGTGCTATCGTTTGCTGGAGGAGAAAAAAGAGGACAGATGCAGCCGTACCACTTCGACAGGTACGAATACACTGAACAGCGCAGCAGATTCTTCATGTGACTGAATACATAAAGATTCTAAAATTGGGAATTTAATTACAGAAATTTCAATTTTTCTACTTTTACAGATTGTAAATAGTAAAGAGTCTACAAGAAGCACAGAAGAAGAAGAAAAAGAACAAACCCTTCATTATGGAGAGATTCAGTTTCTAAAGCGAAGCCCTGAACTATCAAACTGCAGAGTGGATGGTTCAGACACAGTCTACTCTCAGGTTAAGGTACTTGAGCCAGCAAGTCATTTGAGGCAAATGGCTGATGACCCAGAATCCCTCTATGCTCAAGTAAAACATCAGTGATTTGAGATTTATTTTTATTTTTACAGGATTCTGTGTAGCTTAATCCTTTTCAAAATACCTCATGTACAAAAAGACACCTGAATGTGTGAATGCAATGCTTACACTTCCTCAACAGGAAACTCAAACTTTCACACTTCACCTTTTTTTTTCCCAGAAGAGTATACACAGATGTATGCAAATAATGTCAGAACTCTGAAAAAAGGGGAACCTTGCACACTTTTCTGTTCACACACCTGCAGCATATGAGGTGTGTGAACAGCTCATATGCTGCACGCATGACATAAGTTAACTTAACTTATGTCATGCGTGTGCATGAATCCCACATCAGTTTTGTTTCATACGCTGACTTGTGATATCAGCCAGAAAAGCTTATCAGTTTGTATTCTTTCGTTTTCAGCCCAGTTATAATCCAATTCATTGCGATGTACAAGTTTCTTTAAGGTTATTTTGGTTCATACTCTCTTGGTTCTGCTCTCCACTTTGGTAGTCACCCTACTGATGTGCAGCTAATCTTTCACTATTCCAACAAAAACATTCCTGGATGCATTTATGTTGTTGTCATTTCCTTATGAGTTTTGTTCCTACATTTTCTGCTAGTCAACAGGGAGTTTCTGAGGTTTTTCTTTTCCTGCTCACAGGCATCACTATCTACGCATTTGAAGAAAGATGTCAATTAAACAATAAATGAATTCACAATAAGCTATTGTGACTTATGTACGAGTCACAATAGCATTTATTTTTTCCATAGGGATTAAAAAAGACAATGAAAATACATAGAAATAAAGAATAAATACGTTGACTCTGAGGCCTGTCAGAGCTGTGAGGGTTATGTCACAGATGTTTTTGAACGTCTTCATGAATTATTAAGCAAAAATGTACAGTAAACTCAAAGTGAGATGGAGGAACAGATGAAACTTAGAAAAAAAAAACCCAAAAGGAAGGGAAACATTTCTGCATATTTTCAGTAACTTATTATAATATCTTTTAATCCCATTCAGGCAGTTTGCAGCTGTCTGAATGTTTGGTATGCAGCATACCAAACACACATTTGCATTATCCTCCAGTTGGAGAACTTGTGAGGGCAAAGTTACAAGTGAAAGGTTGGACAGAACAGAGACACAAAAACTTAGATATTAACTAACTATAACTATGATTTATGCATGAAAGCTATAGTTGATTCAGCTCTGGATGTAAAATTACCCTAATGTCTGACATTGCTAAACCGTATGCTGTTTCACATTTAAGAACTAAATATGGTTTATTTGGTTTGTAATAATGAATCAATTTTGACCAATAGTATTGAGTTTTCTTTAAATGACACATTTGAATCCAATGTTTTAAAATGTATTATGTTGACATAATCCATGTTTCTGAGATTTATTTTACAGAAATAAACCTCAATGTAAATATTCTACATTTACAAAAACTGATCGATGCTTTCTTCATTACAAGTGCAGTTTTTAATGATATAAGCTGAGGTTTTCCTACTTCCCCTTATCCTTATTTAGCTGTGTGGTTGCGAAAAGCATGTTTTAAATGCAGCAACCATTCACTTCGGGTTTGACTTTGTTGTCAGCCCAAGTGAAAATAGTAATGGATGGAGAAATTGTTGTGATACCAGGAAGTACTGTTTTCAATACCATATTTGAAGTGGTGAGACGAAATGAGAAGCCACTGGCTCGTATTTGATATAAATCTACTTATTGGTTTTCTTTATCTTCTGTTAACAGACTGTTTTCTTTGTGTTTATTTTTGACATCAATTTGCTATATGTCCACCCAAAATCCACACGATTTCGATTCAAGGTCAAGAATACTTTATTGATCCCAAAGGGAAATTAAATGTTGTTGTAGCATGTAGGAATAAAGTCGTGATATTACGACTTGTTTCATATTATTTATTCTCGTATTATTTCAGCATTCTTTTCGAACCACTTTATTGTCGTAATGCTATGACTTTATTCCCGTATTATTTCGACATTATTCTAATTATATCATGACTTTATTCTCGTGATATTACGACGGTATTCTCCTAGTTGTATGACTTTGTACTCGTATATTTTGTTCTTATGGCCGTCACACTTTGTCATAAAAAATACCGAAATAAGTGTACATTTTATAAAAATGAACTCTTTGCCTCCAACTCACCTGTCTCCTTTGAAACTAGCAGACCTGCTCCACCTTCTAGAGTTAGCTAGCATTTCAGTGGTTACAAATATCAAGCGTGTCTGTATTTCCAACATCAGGGATGATGGCGCCATCTTTAGGCCACACTACGTACTTCTAAATATAAGGCTGCAGTCTCTCTCTCTTGCCACTAGGGGCGATGTAGCTCATCAGCAGCTCAAAGTGAACAGTTGTTCTTTGTCCTCGATTCCAGCATTCCCAGGTTAGAAAGAGGCCCGTCTCCCACATAGACTGGTCGGCACGCTTATAATTTTAATCTTTAAATGGGGAATTCAACAATTGATCTTATTTAGTGAGTAAAAAACAAAATAAAATAAAAAAAAAAACTATGACCCCCACAACCCATCAAATCCTTGAGTGCAACAGGAGAGTCCATTCAGTCGTCATGTAATGACTGCAGACATCGACAGGTTAACAATTTTAAAATGAAAGAACAGAGAAATAGAACATCTTAGCCAATTTTTATTTTATGTTTAAATCATATTTACAAAAATCCAGTGAAATAGGCACTTTTACATCATTTCAAAGTTATTGCATCAAACTTTTTTTTAAATCACCCTTGAAGCTTTACATATAAAACATGTGACAGTTAAGATAAAATGCAGATTTAGCCTACTCTAACCTCACACCATCAGAAAGGAGATTGCATGTGATTAATATAGTAAATGACAAAATAAATTGTAAATATGCTTATTTTGATTGTTTAGTATTTTTTAGATTTAGTCTAACTTGAAGTTTAAATGTCCCCCATGCTGACTCAAAGTAAGATAAGTTGACAATAACCAGATCAAGAGGCAAGATAAGGAAAACAAAAAGTTCAAAAGTTATTCCCCTTTTAAGCTTAGGTGTCATTTTACCTTACTCTATTCAGAGAGCTCAAAAACACTTTTAAGTTCCAATTTGTGTTCTTGTTTACTTTCTGCGAGAGCCAAAATTCACAAATTCAACATTGTTTGCAAACTCCAAACTTCATCCTTTACAAGCAGAAGACACCTGTGGATTACACAGAAGAGAAAAATACAGTGTCAAGTTCCACATTTACAGCAGATTTTTACAAAAACTAACTCATGGAAAAACAGGATTATCAATGCACAGAAACTTTGCTGTGGTACAAACCTGGAGCAACACAGTGCGTTCATCTTACACATCTGCATCTGCAATAAGACAAAAAAAATCCATCATGTTAGTTTATGAATAACTTTCCAGACAATCATTTTCAAAATGTATGTATATTGTATATCACCAATTAGCTTGTAGCCTAAAGTATAGTGGAAAACAATATCTTTCAACTGAGTTTTCACAAGGTCCTCTTTCTCATTCGGGTCCCTGTGGTTCAAACAATCTTATCAATAAAGTGCAAAAGCTTAAAAGCAGTACCCCATTCGTGGATTGTTGTCTTTCCCACATGTGTCACTCTGCATGCGTAGTGCTCTCCTTCCTTTGGAGTGAAACTCGCGTGCTTGGTGAGGTGGTAGTGCCAGTTCTCCTCAAAGGCCAGGTCAGTCTGCTTGGCATCAGCTATTTCCTGTCCGTTCTTCAGCAAATCAATTCTGATCTCTGGTGGGTGGAAGCCGCTGACGTGGCAGATGAGGACGTTTGGCTTCCCGTACAGCCCAGGGTTGCGACTGTAGATCTGCACCTTTGGTGATACTGACAACACATACACGGCATTAACACATCTTCAAAAGATACTTTAGAATAATTCATCAAAATTATACACCTTTTTTTATTATTTATTTTTATTATAGTCTTAAAATGGCAGTGACGAATAAAAGTTATGGCATTTGGGAAACTGAAGCTATGCATGTTTTTTTGTTGTTTTTCTTTGTCACTGTTAGTGACTTTCTAATATAATGCTACAGGTAGTTACACAACTCCGCAGCTACCTAAGGTTTGAGGAATATCCAGTTCTTCCTCTTTTATCATCTACACAACCAACATAAGTACTTTTGTTTTTAGGTTGACACAGTCCACATTTAATACTAATGCACAGTCATCCCTAAGGACCAATTAAAGAACACCAAAGAGACCAATTAACTTACCAAGGAAGAAGCTGGGAGATAAATATATTAATCCTAAAAATGTCCCAATCCTTGTTTTAGGGACAGAAAATTTGCTTTCAAAACTCGTCTATCACCATTTTGCAGTGACTAATTAAAGTCAATGACATCTTTGTTTGGGAATGTTTTTTCTTACTAACATAACCAACAGCGGATGGACCTGTTTGAGTGGAATGAGGAACAAGGTTGCACTTGAACGTAGAAGCAGAAACATCAAACACTGTCCCCGCCAAGAGACTCGCAAAAGACGCCAACAGAAGTTGTTTTGAACAGACGGATGGAAGACATCAAAACCAAACTCTACAGCCCCAACCATATATTCCTGCTCAGGAATACAGTTTAACACAATTACACTCCAACAGTCCTCTTGGGATGATTGTTTTCTAGGAACTCGATCTGCCAATAGTTGGTATGACCTCACCCACACCTTGTACAGCCATTGAAAACAAAAATGGCTGTACAAGGAGTACCCAGCTAAAGTCCACAATGAACATAAAACTCTTGGACTTTGACATGTTTTACAATCTTATGAAGAAGACACAATCTCAGTTTCTTTAGATGACCATAAAATCCTCATAATATCCTTTCTTGTGGGTAAAATTTAAAATGTGAAGAACATCTTGATTATTTCTCATAAGTAACAAGTTCTCTAAGACTCAACAAAGGTGTTGTTTAATACAGTAAAACCATTTCTCAAACTCCAGTCCCATGACAAAATAATAAACAATGGATAAGAACTGGTTCTAATCACAGCAGTAAATTTAGTGTAGTCAGGAAGAGGTATTGCAGCAAAGTGAGGAATTTTGTGTAACGCACTCAGGATTTCCCCCAGTGTATCATAAGCCTGACGGGCCACCAGGCTAAGTATTGCTTATTTATTTAAGTTGTTTTAAAATGTTTGCATATTTGCAGACTTTATAGTTGGTGTTCAGGTATAAATCTTCCAATCTTTCAAAAATACATAATTATCAAGGGATATTTTCAAATTTCCTGTCAACTTTAAAGATTTTTTTTATTCAAAATCACTCAAAATCATGCTGAATGACTGCCCTAGCACCCAACCAACAGGCTTATATGTTTTCTGGAGGAAACCTTGACACTGAGTCTGACTGGATTGCAATGTAGCTAGAATCAAATTGAAATTTATGTAATTTAATTTAAACAGGACTGATTTTATTTGACATTTTTGATTTGGACCTCTTTGCATTGTTAAGTGCCTTAAAATGACCGTTGTTGAAAACTGGCCCTTGTAAAACAAACTGAACTAAAGGCTTTGATACATTAGCAATACTTCCATGTGCCATTATATCATCTATTCTCTTGGTTTGTACATGGGAACATGAGAAACATAGTTAAACACCAGGCAAAACCCCTATAAATAAACAACAATAACAAGTAATCTTAACATAAAGCGTTTTCTTTTTATCATTGAATACTAATATGTTATTAATGTAATATGGTAAAGTTGTCTCGAATCATAAAAACATCCTTTACATGTAGTTGTATTTTTCAGAAGTACATCAAACTGTACAGAGTATAGAAAAAAGCAAATCGCGTTCCTTTAAAATGAGCTCTATTTACGAAGAGAACCATAAAGCCAGCTACGTGTTTGTACTTTTCTAAATAAAAATAGATACTACCAAAAATATGCGGGTTATTTTGAGGAAAGAATATAACAGGGCTCTGTGTTTTAAAAACTATTCAAGTACCAGTGTACTACTTAACCACTACAATGTATTTACCGAGAATGATTTTAACAGGTTACGCAAAGACAGTGAGCGACATGTTTGTTTTTATTTTAAGGTTTCTTACAGCTATTCTAAAACAGATGTGTCAGTCTTATTTTAAGCTTACCCACCGCACTAATATATTAGTAATTTATCCGGGTTATATCTATGGTTGGGCCTGAACCTGTACATTTTCGAGTCTTCTTCCTTGTAACACAGCGCCATATCTGTACAGTATACTGAAACAAAGACAAAATACGGAACACAACTAAATTACCTTCTTTAGCCATTACAGCATAAGACGCGTAGAGAACAACGACCAGGAAGAATAACTCCTTCATGATTCTTTGTTTTAAGACGGTCTCTGGCAGAAGAAGGTGCTTTCTCTTCGTATAAAAACGATGACAAAAAGTGCGCAACAACTCGAATCGAAAGTAAAAATGTTAGTAAGGTGAAGTACACCCAGATAAGACTAACCCTGCCCAGCAAAGTCACTGAAGGCCACGTGGTATTCCCTCAACCAATAAAGAAATTAAAAGAAACTGTTGCTAGGTGGAATTTACATTAAATTATTGACGTTTTCTTTTTCTTTTAGTTTTCTGGGTAGCTAGCAAAAGATGAAAATGTGTTTTACCGCCATCTAGTGGTCAGAATGTTAATTATTATCAGCTTCGTTATAATGGATCAATCAAGTAATTTGTCAAATGAAAAAATAATTTCATTTGAAATATATATAGATATATATCTATATATATCTATATATATCTATATATATCTATATATATC